ATATGAGTGATGCACAGGGAAAACCTGTAAGTAAAATTTTATTCGTTAATCATTATGCCGATCTTGAAGATTTGGCACTGGGGCGTGACCAATCATTTTATATGACAATAAACATTTACAGTACTACATAAGCTTTATAATAAATGATTATTTGTCATATCCTATAATTGACCACACCCCAGTGCCAAATCGTTAAGATCTTTAACGAATAAAATTTTACTTACAGGTTTTCCCTGTGCATCACTCATATAACCTTTCCCTTGCCTATCTATATTACGTGAGTAGACAGGCGGAAAGTTTGATATTTTTTTTAAAATATAAAGTGACTTTCGTATCACCATGTGTACGTAGAAATTAAGAGTCCGGAGTGAAGCGACGAACAAAAAAAAGCAAATCTTTAATGAAATTATAATTTGCTATAAAAGGAAAAATTTATATATAGCCATGGCTACAATGTAAATATAGCTACAAAATTTTTCTATAAAAAAAACTATATTGATAGTATGGCTACATGTAGCCTATGGTTAGTGTTTCGGCTAGATTAATTTCAAATATTTCGCCAATAAGAAATAATTTCGCCGGAACGTAATTTAGGTTCAAACTGCAAAATATATAATAATTTGCACTTTTTGAAGTCCGAAAACATTTCGCCAGAGTAAAATAATTTCGTCTGGGCGAAATATTTTGGATTCGCCCGAAACACTACCTATGGTTACAAATAAAATTAATTCGCTATAAAATTAATTAATTATTTAAAAACTTTGAATGATGATGATATCTTAACAACTATATAATTAACTCGACAAATTTATTTTTTCTTAGTTTCACGTATCTATAGAATTTAAACAAAAAATTTTTATCGAGTTTAATTGACTGGTTATCGAGATATTACTATTTAATTCCTGATTTTTAAAAATCGATTTTAAAACTTTATAATATCCTAAATTCAATAAAAGTTTCTTTATTTAATTCTATATATCCATAGAATTTAAATAAAAATTCTTTTATCATATTTAGCTGTTATTATTGAGATATTAACAAAGTTTTGAAAAAATTCAAACATCTTAAAGATCAATATTTTTTAAAACTTTGAGTAATATCTGAATTTATGAGAAAGCCCGGTTGATTTATATATTATTTTATGAAATTTTATATTACTATTCGCAAATCTCAAATAAAATAAAAAAATTTATTGATATACAAGTTTTATTATTAATAACAAAAGAGTGGCTAAGTGTATAAAAAAATATATTTACTATTAATAATATAAAGAAAACCAGTCAGATTTGTATGTATATCTGATATATTTTCAATATTTTTTTAATCATATACTCTTCAAAGATAGATAAATATTGTATATAAATAAGACATCGCAAAATAAATTCTAGGATACAAAAAATAAATAATAAATAAATAAAAATTAAATTTACAAATATTTATAATATATAAATGAAATAAAATGATTTTTTTTTTTTCTTGAATTTAATAGAAATAGTTTTTTTTTTATATATCTTAAATAAATAGCAAATAATAATAATTTGTTTTTAGAAACACATAAATTTGCTTTTTCTTGCCATGAGTTGTTCCATTTGACTTTCAAGTTGTACGCGCGCCTTTTCTGCTCGTTCCTTTGCTCTTCGCTCTTCTTCCAATACATTCGCCATGACTTTCTTTTCTTCTTGTACTGTAGATTTTGCTTTTTCTATTTGATCAGTTGCCTCGACTAATTGTTCGCGTAGACCCTTTATTTGATCAAGGTATTCCATTTTTTCGCGTTGTAATATTGAAAGTTGCTGCTTCGCTACTCGCAAGTTTGTTTCATGATCACTTACTGAAGTCTGAAGTGTTTGCACGAGTTGCCGACTTTGTAAGTTTTCACCCTCAATTTCTGAAATCTTTTTGTGTAGTCTCTGAATTTCTAATGAAAGATCCGATGACGCTACTGAATCTGATCTGCTGCTTCGTGTGCGAGGCGTAGAGTTTTGCGGAATTGGCGGTAAAGGCTGATTTGGTGGAGGTACTGGTGGTGGTTTAGTAAGGCTTGGATGTCGTTGCCCTTTCTTGTTATTTGCGTCCGATGAATTAGATGAAGAAGATGTTGTTGATAGACGTACACCACCAACAGCATCCAACTCTGGTCCAACATTTGAATTTGGCTCATCATAAGATCGGCTTTCAAGCTCTGTAATCTTTTCTTGAAGGGTCTTGATGAGTAAGTTTTGCTGTGTGATAGTGTCATCTTGACGACTGATTTTAGCATGCATGGGACCATCTCTACTAGGACGCCGCCGCATAGTCGGTGCAGGAGAGCTACCTTTGTCAATATTTGGAATGTTACCACCCATCTCTTTAATCTCTTGTTCTAGACGACTATTATGTTCTATCAAATGTTCAATCTCTTTTTCCATATCTCTAATTTCATCTAAAGAATCTTGTTTTAATTGAGCATGCTCTTTTTCGAGTTTAGCCATTTGTTCATTTAATTGAGATATATGTTGGGCAGCTTTATTTCCACCAACAGAACGTAATTGTTGCATTAATGTTTCGATCTTATGATCAAGTTTACTACGTTCTTCATATGCAGCTTCATTTGCTTGTTCTAATACATCTTTATCAGATTGAAGTTCTTGAATCTTTAATTTTAGGTTCTCAACAGATTCTTCATTGATATTAATACTTCCTGATCTGAATTTAGCCAATTCATCTTCTAATATGTTAATTTTGGCATTTAGTTCTGAGACGCGTTCTTCTGCTTTGGAAATTTTAGTATTAAGACCATCATTAATCTGTCGCAAATTTTCATTTGCAGAAGCAAGTTCAGCGAGAGCAGGATTAGTAGATGCGGAAATGCGTGTAGAATTTCTATCAGCTATGAAACTGGCTTTCTTGGTCTCTTCAAGAGTGGTTTCCAATTCAATGATTCGTTGCTTTTGTTGTTTTGATAACGCATTAGTTTCTTCAAATTTGGCTGCAGTCTGTGAAAATTCTTCAGATAATATTTCAAGGTCTTTTTGAAGTTTTTCAAATTGTTGTTCAAGAATTGCGTTTCGGTTAAGATTTTCTGCTTTATCAGACTCTAGTTGTTTGGTTTTCTTTTCCAAAGCTATAACTTGATCTCGATGAAACTTGGCTTCATTGTGAACCTGTTTAAGTTGGTTGGTGAGATCTTCAATCATAGTATCATCAACATTTTCATAACTTTGGATGACAGAATCCCATTGCGCATCTTCAAGTTCTTGTTGCAATTGATCACATTTATCATTAAGCGATTCAATTTCTTTATTTGCCTTTTCAAGCTTAGATGTCTCTTCAGCACGATGTGCTTCAACTTCTTTAAGTTTAGTTTCCAAAAGCTTGACTTGTTCTATATGTTTTATTTCTGAAGCTTTTATTTTTGCAAGCTCCTCATTAAACATTTTCACATCTTGCTGTAAATCATTTCTATCATTATTTGTATCTTGTAATTTGGAAGTTACCTCTGCAAGTTTTGCTTCTAATTCATTTTTACGTTTGGTTACATCTTCTTCGGATGCTTTTGATGTCTGAAGTTCTAATTGTGTTTTTTGAATAATAGTTTCCAATTCTGAGATCAGAACATCAATATTAGTAATATTTTCTTCTTTATCCGTTAAAATATTGAGAGTATTCTTTAATTTGTTTTCTAACTCATTAATAATATTTGAACGTCTTTCATCCAAAGCCTTAGCATCATGTATTTGTGAACGTACTGTCAAAAGTTTTTCTTCGAGAGTTACAATTGTTTTTTTGCTTATATTAGAAGAATCTTTGGCTACAACAAGTTCAGAGTTCAGATTCATTAAAGTGATTTCAAGGTTTTTAATGGCATCCTTTTGATTAGATTCTCTTTCTTTAAGAGCCTCTGTTAACTCTTGAATACGTTGGATATTTTGACTACGTTCTTTATCCATAATCCCTATCTGAGAATCGAGATCCACTAAAATCTCATTTTGAGCTGCCATCTCAAGTTTAGCATTCGCTAATTCTGATCTTAAAGCGCCAACATTTTCATTACCTGCAACCCCAGCTAATTTAAATGTTTCAAGTTCAATTTCCAAAGCTTTAACTGCTTTTTGAGCATCATCACGTTCTTTTTGAGTTTTACTTATCAAATTAGTCATTTCTTCAAGATCCTGTGATGAGTTCGCGTCGTTATTCTTTATCGTTGCCAATTTTTCTCTTAGTGAGTTTACTTCATTTTCAAGTGAGATGGCTAAATCCTTTTGAATAACAAAGCCTCCTTTCATCGTTTGAAGCTCATTAACAGCAGCTTCTTTAGAAGTTCTAAGTTTTTGAAGTTGTGCTTGCAATTGTTCAATTGTGGACTTTTGCTCAGCTTCTAATTCTTTTAAGAATTTAACCTCTTCTTTAACCGTATCGAAAATTTTAACCTCTTTTTGTGCTGTTATAAGTTTTGATTCATAGTCTTGCACTGTCCTACGCATATCTGACTCTGAAGCTTTTAACTTGGCAATTTGATCTCTCAGAGAAGAAATATTGGGATCTTCGTCGCTGACAAGTTCCAATCGTGTTTCGAGGGTTTCAATTTGTTTACGTTGCTCTCGTTCTAAAGATCGCATTTTCTCAAGTTCTTCATTAAGTTTGCTAATTTCCTTTTGGTCCTTAGTATTATGTTCATTAAATTGAAGTTCTAACTCCTTTATTCTTTTTAAATATTCAGTTTCCTTAATTTTCAACTCATTTATTTCACGTCGAACTGCACTTATTTGAGATCTATCTTCAGCTTTACGCAATTTTGCTTCAAGATTTTCAATTATATTTTTTTGTGCAGCTTCAGATTCCTTAGCTAACAACAAATCATTTTGTAATTGTGCAATATCACATTCAACATGACCTCCTTGCTCTGAAAGTTTATTTTCCAAAATAGCTATTCTTTCTCTTTGTGTTATTTCTACGATACGTAAACGTTCCAATTCATCTTGAAGGTGATTTTCTTCTGGATCTGAGCCTAATTTTGCTTTTAATACTCGAAATCGGTCAAGTGCAATAGATTCTTTTTCACGGACTTCTATGATTTCTTTTTTTAGTTTATCCAATTCCTCTTGAAGAACTACATTAACATCCTCTCCACTTTCCAATCTATTTAATTGTTCTTTAAGTTTTTTAATTTCATCTTCCATTTCTTGTTCTTTTTTATTAACTTCCATGAGTTTTGTTTTGAAAATTAGTGCTTCAGCCTCTTTTTCCCTTAATTTTTGTTGTAACATACTTTTGTCGGCAAGATCTCTTTTCAAGACTTCGATAAGTTCATATTTGTGTTGAATATCTGATTTAAGTATGATGAGTTTTTCCTGAAGTTCTGCTACAATTTCTTGTTCATCATTTAAACTTTCAATAGTATTTGACTTGAGAACTAACTCATGTTGTAAAGTAGCTAATTTTTCTTCAAGACCATTTATGTTCATTCGTGTTGGATCAATATCAAAATGAATTGAAGCACGAGGTGTTGGAATATGTTGTGCTTCTCTTGCTTTGTTTAATTGTAATTCAAGATCTTTAACTTTTTCTTCAAGAGTTTGTACGTGTTTATCATAAGCTTCTTCCCTAGCAAAAGAATCCATACCATCAAATTCTCTACCTTCAAATTCTTCCGATATTGAAGTTAATTGACTTGATTTTTCTAAGATGGCTTGTTGATGAGCTTCTCGAACTTTTTCAAGTTCATCCTCAAGTCTGCGAATTGTATTTTGATGTTCAATTGATGGGAACAATAAAGCGGCTATTGTATGACTCTTTGCTTCAATTTCATTTTGAAGCTTTTCAACTTGTTGTCTAAGTTCCAAATTTTCCACATCCGATTCTATTTTATTACCTTCAAGACGAGAAGCGGCATCCGCAATATAAATTTGTCGTTTAGCTTCTGATAATTGTTCTTCAAGTGATTTTATTGTCAATTGCATTTCTCTAACTTGATCATCATTATTATCAAGTACAGCATCCGAGACTTCAGAATCTTTTAAGGCCTGTTCTTCAAGTAATTTCTGCATTTCAGATTTAAGTTCTTCTATAGTAGATTCTAATTCTTTAATTTCATTTCTTCCATCTTCTTCACGTTCAGAAATACTTTCTAAAGTTCTTCGTTGTTCATCCTTGAGTTGTTCTACCTCTTCACGAAGACGTTGAACAATCTCGTATTGATCAATTTCACTAGTTGCTGTAGAATATTCATTGAGTGTATACTCAGAGCCCATGACGGACATAACTTCCATTTGAGCAAGAGCATCCCTTCTTTTTATTTCCTCACGAAGCTCTTCAACAATTTCAAGAGCTTCTCGATGACAAATTTCTAAACGTGCGAATTCTTTTTTAACAGCATCAAGCCCTTGATCTTTATCTTCATGAAGAGATTGAAGTTGTTTTAATTCAATTTGAAGTTTTTGAACCATAGAAGCGTTAGAATTATCACGCTTTTCTAAACCTTTAAGTTCAGCAGATAAAGATTTGGCTTTACGATGAGTACCATGAGTAAATGGTGATAAAGATTTAGAATCTACATTTATAAGTTCATCCAAAGAAATTTCAGTAGGATTTAATGGAGTTCCAGGAATTACATTAATTTTCACTTTGGCTCCTTGAAGTTGTTCCTGAAGTTCTTGGATTTCTTCAAGGCATGAAGCATATTTATTTTTTATATCACTATATTCCAATACAGTCTTTTCATGAGTTTTTTGAAGTTGATATAATCTCGATTCTAAACCTAATACAGAAGAATAATTCACAGACGACTTTGGAGTATTTGAATCAGGTGGCGTAGAAAGAGGAGTATCTTGATCTGAGGAGGTTGAAGAAGCAGAAGCGAGTGAATTTGAACGATAATCTCTATTAGAAACATTTTTCATATCCATTCTTAATCGTTTTAATTGTGATATTTCATCAACTAATTCTTCGACTTTCTTTTCCAATTCAGAAATCCTACGATCTCGTTCTTCAATTCCTGTCATAAGCATTTTTTTATCTTCTTCATTTTTAAGTTTTTCTTGTGTATATCTTTCTTCTAATTTAGAATAAGCATCTTTTTGTTGACTTAAAGCTTTTTCAAGTTTTTCTTGATTTGAACTCATAAATTCTATTTTACTTTCACGTGCCTCTAAACGAGTTTCAAGTTGGTTAATTAAATCTTCATTATTATCACCATTTTCTCTAAGTTCCATAAGTTGTCTTCGAAGATCACTAATTGTTTCTTGATCTTTTTTATATTCGCTAGAATGTACTTTAAGTTTGGCTTCAAGATCTTGAATATAATTCTCAGTTGTATTTTCACGTTCATGAAGTTTTGAAACTTTATATTTAAGATCATCAATTAAACTTTTACTTTCTTCTCTAAATTTTTCAGCATCAGCAAGCTTTGATTCTTGTTCTAACATTGAAACTTCAGTGTGATTTAAAGCAGCACGAGCAAGAGCAAGTTGACTTTCTAGAACAGAAATAGATTTTTCATATTCTATAATAACAGGTTTGACAGTCTTTTGAAAATCTTCTGACAGTTGAGATTTATTAAAAGCCACCTCATCTTCTTCTTTAATTGTTGTTAAAAATGAAGAAGTAAGACTTGATGAAATGTTTTTAATATCAGAAAAATTCTGATACATTTCAAGTTCAGAAGATTTTTTCGAATAATTTTGTGATAACTCATTATAAGAACGTTGAAGCTCAGTAAGTTGTTCCTCAAGAGCTTCAATGTCTTTACAATTTTGAGAAACTTTATCAGTTTTAACATTGGTATCAATATGTAATGGGACAGGATTTTGACTATCAGGAGTTTCACTTCCATTATCTTGAATATTAATAATCTCATTAGAAACGGATAAAGTTTTTAAATTTTTAATATCTGATCTCAATTTTAAAACAAGATTCTGTAAATGTTCCAAGTCATTCCATCCGGCTTCTTCTTGCATAATTATCGCCGAATTCTTGATATTTCGAGCTCGATTTGCATATTTAAGAGTGTTTAATGTTTCAACAGCATTATATTCAGCCGGTGAAACGCAGGCAATCATTAATGTTAATGCATTACCACCAAGAGAGTCTTGTAATAAACGTGTAAGTTTAGAGTCACGATAGGGAATATGAGTTGTGTTCTTTGCCTTTGTTGGATCACCCAAAGCAGAAATTACATTTCCCAAGGCAAGTAATCCAGAGTTAATAGAAATACCCTCTTTTATGCGATCTTCATTTGTTGATGTACGTTTAAGCTATAAAAATTTTAAAGATTAGATTTAAAATTTTTTTTTAAAAGCTTCACCGCACCCGACAATCATTTTTATTCCGTTCATATTTTAACACGTGGCATGTGATTGTGAAATGATTGTCGGTGACACCAAAGTTTTTTTTTTTACAGAATGTTTTAACATTAACGATAACGATAACATTAACGTTAACGTTAACGTTAAAAAACACACATACCCTTTCACTACCAGCTAAATCCACAAAGTGAAACTTGCTTGTTACAGAAACCCAAGTACCATCCTCAAACCGCCTACTCAATCTTGAATTTGACCTTGAATGTGAACCGGATTTTGTTTCAGGAAATGAAGTAGGTGTCGAACTTGTTGATGGTGTAAGAGGTAACGGACTTGCACATAATTCGTTAGAAGGTATAAATTTCTGTTGCGAAAGAATAACTGTGAATATAGCATGAGATCGAGATGATTTTGAATTCATATCCGTTGCTCCAACTTGTCGATTTAATGAACCGCGCGATAAATGGCTTTAAAAAGAATAAATTAATTATGTTAAAAAAACGATGATACTATATAAAATATAAATACATAAATGCATAACGATAAAGATTAATTTTTACCCCATAACTTCACCGACACTATTAACTTTAATTTCTTGTAATCCACTCAATGATATACTTCCGTTGGAGTTTTCTCTGATTAAGACTTGTGGCTTATCCTCATCGTTAGCTTCAGCAAGTAAGTCAATAAGGTCTTCATTATATAATTCCACAAAAGATACTCTCATTGAAAATTTTTGTGATTTATATCGAGCCGAATTTACAGCAGAGAAAAGGGTATCCATTGCTCGTGGAATTATACCCTTTGATTCTGTGGGTGAAGTAAAGTCATTAGATGTTCCCATTGTATGAGTTTTACCCGATGAAGTTTGGCCATATGCTAGAATCGTTACGTTAAAACCTACAACCGAGGAAAAAAAAAAAAATTATATATTTAATTCAGATATTTTACATAAGAATATGTAACACCAATAACGTCACGCGTGCGTTAAAGATTTTTTTAAATCAAATATTTTTTTTAAGCGAAAAAATTCCGTGTTATAATCGGTATTTACGTGTTATTTGATAAATCTAAAATTAAAGCTAAAGTTATTACATACCGTCCAAAAATTTATCGACCATTTTCGTTACGCAACGTTCATATACTTCTTTTTGATTACATTCTTGTCTAAAAACATAATCAAACGTAAAGTTGTGTTTTTTCTCATGCTGTATCGATACTTGGTTTGGCGCATACGCTGCAGTGGATAGAACATTACGCTGAAATCGTATTGGTATATTAATTAAATCTTCTGAAGTTAAAGGCCTTATTCGAAGAGCTAAGAATAAAATAAAATTAATAAAGAATTGTCAAAGGCGAATGAAGAAATATTTAAATTGGCTCATACTTACCAACTTTTATAGTAGTATCTTCATTCGTTGGTGTATTAGACATGTTAATACCAATTGAATAGTAATTGCAATTAGAAAGAAATTTTTTTCTGAGAATAAATATGGATTGGTTTTTTAATGTTTAAAGATTGCGTAAATAACGAATGCTTTTCGTCAAGGGTTCCAGCCCAAATGTAAAAAAGAATGCTTAATGAAATTTTGGACTGTACAGTGTATAAAAATTAAATGTTTTTACTTTAAAGGTAAAATTGATTTTTATCAGAAAATAATTATTATCGCAAAATTATTACAAAAAAAAATGAATGGTTAATCTTGAAATTTTTTTCGCATTAGTTTCTCGCGGGATACACAATTTTTTTTTTTTTTTTTTTTTTAAGTCGTAGCAAAATCGATGTCGTTAACTTGAACGAATGAATGTGAATAGTTGGGAATTGATGAGAATGATGAAAAAAAGGAAAAGAATGAGTGTTAAAGATGGAGGAGACTGCCGATGTTGTGTAAACTGCGAGGCGGAAAAGAAAGTAAAAGTTGTGTTAAGAAAGAAATGTTCAAATGCATGCTTTAAACGAATGCAACAAATAAATTAAAAAAAGCTAATACTTTTTTTTTTTTTGTTATCCTTTCTGGATAAAAAGTCACACTAAATGTAAGCCGAATGTAATCTGAACAAAAGTCACACTAAGTGTAAACCGAATGTAAGAGCAATTAGTGTAATAGCGATTAGTATAATTTATAATATATAACGATCAAATGCAGTACAAATCACAAATGAATAAATGAATAATATAAGTGTATTGCCTTGCACAATATTTATTCGTTTCTTTAAAAATAAAAAAAAAAAACAAAAAACAATTATTAAAATAGGTTGCAACAATGGAATTAATAGATTTATTTAATATTAGCTATCGGATTGATTTTTGAACTTTATTAAAGGCAATGATAAGTAAGGATTGGGAAATGATTTATTATACCGTATTTAAATCATATCAATATTGAGATGATTATAATTACCAAAAAGTGAAAAAAAGTGTTAATATTTATATTAAAAGCAAGTTTTCTCAAAGTTCTTGTGTATCAACGTGATAGCAAATATTGAAACAGAAAACCGAAAAAAAGGAATCCCGTGGATTATATGCCAAATACAACGTGTAAAATTTATTTTTTTCGTGATGCTTTCACCATGTTTGATTAGGTTCAAAAGTCGAACGGAGTATCTCCGTGCAGCACGACGATCGTACAGTGTTCTACATGCCGATACTTGTACGTTAATCCTGTAAATATATATGTTAATTCACTAATTAATAACTGCTAAATGACAAATTTATCAATATTTTTATTAAGTTTTATTAAGTTTTATTATTAAGTATGAGCCTCTACGATTTATTTAAGGGTTAGTAATTTTATTAATCTGTAAATCTTGGAGATTCTTTCGAAATAACGATATACTTGACGATCGCTCTCATTAATACATGAATTTGAACATTATCCTTTTACGGAAAATAATATATTTTTCTTGGTAACACTATTTCAAACGTGAAAGAAAATCAGTTACAATTCTTACGTTAATATAAATATTTGATTAGATAGGAAACATCAAAACCAATAGCATGCAGGTTTCCTAATTGAATGTGGGTGATACATACGCATGTATTACCGTTATTCGGGTAACGTACTGTAACGTATGTATTTTTAATGCACCAATTATTTATTTCCCAAATAATTTATCTGGCAAGATATACATTGTAGATCTACGAGAATCTTCATGCATTCGAATTTGTATATAAGAATGGTAAGTCACATATTTAAAACTATATATATATATATATATATATATATATATATATATAATTTTAAACTATTGGTCAAAATAAATGTCATTGGTTAAAGCAATAAATATTTATACCGGGAATGAGAGATTTGTCATCGAATCTCAAAAATTTAATCCGTGCAAAAGTCAAAATAAATATGCTAGATTGGTGCAACAGTTAGCATAGGATTTAAAGACAAAGAAATCCCAATGTTTTCCGATGTTTTACGGGATTAATAATACATTAATAATACCTCGGTAAGTTCTTTTTTTTTCTTTTGGCGGGAAAATTTTGTATACCAATAATGTGCACGAAGATATAATTAGAAAGCATACTACAAAGAACTTTATTGAAAAAATCAGAAACAACCTTTATTTTTGGAAAAACTTTAATTTTCAATCATTTGATTTATTTTTTATTTTAATTATTTTGATTTATTTTAATTATTTTGACATATTTTAATATTTTGATTTATTTTCAATTATTTTAATTTATTTTCAATTATATTTGGATTTACTAAACCCTGTAATTCATATAGTCATTCATATAGTCATTCATACAGTATATATCTAATATATATCTAATATATATAATGATCTATACATAAATAATGTTATTTGCTGATGTTATCCATTCAATAAAAAATAAAATTTAGTTGCACATATAAAACTTCTGTCATCCATTCAATTTATTAAACTCTTCTATACATGTAAAAATTCGAAACGAATCAAGTATTAATTCCTCCATTGACGCATGTAAGTAAATGCGCATTGATGTGCACCAATGAATACATCTTTCATTATCCAAATCAGTTTATCAGAGAGTACTTTCAACATGACATATATACACACATACATGCTTAATCCACGTGAACGTAGAGTTGATTGTAATTAGAAATGTGAGATTTTGCATAGCAACCCTTTTTTTTTAATTACAAGATAATAAATTGTTTATTTGGCAGAATAAAAATTACAGTTTTTTGAATTCCGCAAAATTTATATTCTAATATTATTGTTTATTTGACAGAATAAAAATTACAGTCTTCGAATTCCGCATTTAAATTCAAATAATTTGTTAATCGGATGTTTAATCAAATATTCTCGTGGTTTAATTTATTGTTTTTATAAATATATATCGATATAATTTACATGTCTTATGCCTAACTGTATACAGTATGTATGTATATATTGTTTATATTTGTCAATTAAACTTTGTCGTAAGTTCAAATTTATGAGACACTTTTAGGGATGGTAAAAAATCATTTTTCACCGATTTAAATCATGCGATGATTATACTCCAGATATGCTGAGGTTTAAATTTAATATATTCGGATCATAATCATAACATGATTTAAATCGGTGAAAAATGATTTTTTACCATTCCTAGACACTTTATTTCTGAATTAGAATTAGTTAAATTTGTTAATTTGACTAACATAAGCCGTTAGGTAAATTACAGTATTATGATTCGCTATTATGATTCGATATTATGATTCGCTCTACTGATTCGATAGATAACCATTATGATTCCCCTCTACTTCTGTACTTATGAATGATATACGGAAAAATTTTGATTCAAAATTTGCCTATCACTATGTAAATCCAATATTGTATGATTAAAAAAATCATACTTATCTGATTAGCTGTCGATCCTATTTTAATCGTTGATTCTCATTTTCCTGAAACCTGAAATTTAATTTTCCCGACCCCATAATCTCGATCATTTTTCCCGATGACATATTTATGATATTTCACCGATAGAAAATTTTACTGAATGATTTTTTTCCGATATGACCATTTCCGAACTCCTGTTTCTCCGTCTCCGACAATAATTTTTTCGGACACCTTTCCCCCGAAAATATTTTATAATATATTCATTAAATGAGTTTTCAGTAAATATATTTTCAAAGAAATAGAATATATCATTCTGGGCATTCGGTTTTTAATATTCGGTAAACTTATTGGAAAATTTATAATCGATTAAATTATAATTCGGGAAAATCATATTTAATGCCCTATATGAGCGAAAAATGGGATTTCAACTTATACGATTAAAGTTCCATTTTCACTCATATAAAATACTATTATGGAAAATTCTTTAACGAATCTGATTATCGTTATCGTTATATCAAATATATCAATTTAAATTTAGCAAGTAACCTGAATAATAAAGTTGGACTAAAAAAAAAAAGTATTAGACTGGTTTTTTATAAACTGAGACGTTTGGCTGTTAATATTTCTTATGCTACAAAAAATAACTATACATAAATTCTTGTTCACTTTTTATTGATTAGCTTTATTGTTTGTATATACGAAAATAAATACTATTTTTGAATTTATTTTTGTTTGAAATAAATGTTAACATCTCATCTTAACGGAGTAGCCTGATCTTTGTACATGACGATAACAATTTACAATCAACTTAGATGCGATTTCATAGTGATCGAAATAGTGCATAAGTATCATATCGTAATTTTGGCTATTTTGGATAAAAGTTAATAATACGTACGAATGACGATATTATCAGTTATTGAGATATGCTCAAACATTACTGTGATTTTCTAATAATTGTAGTGATAAAGACCTCAATCACTGCTTGAGAGGATTCTAAATAGCTTATCGAAAAATCTTGCAAAAATGTGTCGATAATGAAAATTCATATTGAAAATTCATATAAAATTTATGAAATAATACTTATTCACTAATATTTATAAATTTTTGATTAGTCAGCGCAAAAAAAAAAGGTGTTCGGGGCAAAAAGTTATTTGATTGAAATGGTAAACTCACTACCTTACTTATCTTAATAACAAATTCGATTGATCGATTAAAAATACTCTCCACTAATTAAAATTTAATTCCCAACATATTTGAGAATGCCCAAAGTAGCAAAAAAAATATTTTATAATTTCTATAACTCTAGCTATAAGTCAAGCTTCTTTGGCCAAAGGTTCAATATTCGCTTTTTCTAGAAACTTGTTTTTATTCTATTCAAAAACTTGTTTAGCATAGACAAAAAATAATGATCAAATAAAATTACTATTGCTAAAAAAAAATTTTCAATCATCAATATCAGTATATAATATTGTAACATATAAAAAGTGAAATACATATTCAAAAATGATTATATATGCAAAATTAGTCACCAGGGCCAGCTTTATTGATATAAAAAACTAGATCTTAGAAAATATAAAGCAAAATACTAGCAATATTATATCTTGATTTTTATAATATATTTA